TCTGGTCAAGGGCCGTAAACTCCATGAGGTCATCCTTGAAACAGGGGAGCGAGACTGACGAGGCCAAAAATGCTTGATCCATCCATGCCCACTGCAAAGCGTCGGCATGTTGCGCAAGAATAGGGCCTTCCGGAACAAAATTGAAAGTCTGTTCCACCGCCGCCATGCCTGCTAGGGCATCTGCTGCCTCATTCCATCCGAAGCCTGCATGCCCTTTGGTCCACAAATAGGAAACCGAAAAGCATTGCTCGACAACCTTCCAAAGATATCGCGCCCAGTTATCAGCCAGTGGGATTTTGGGCCAGTTCCAGTTGCCGGCAGCACCGAAAACTCCCGCTGCATAATCTGATACAACATAAACCCGCTGAATGGCCTGAGCTTCGATCGATCCGGACCACTGAATACACCAGAGAGCCGCCCAAACGAGCGCCTCAACTTCGGCCACTCCGGAGGTTGCCTGCCAGGCTCCTTTCCATGTCGTACTGCTTGGGTCGCAGGTCACAGGGCCTGCCAAGAAAGCAACTATGGAATAGAGGCTAGGGTCCTGGGCCATTCCCACGGCTACGCACCCAAAGCCAGCAAGCTTCTGCCCAGTTTGCTGATCCCAGCGGGAAGAACCGTCAGTGAAGATCCAGAGTTCAGAACCCCTCACATTGGTCTGAGCGCCTTTTATGACTGAGCTCGCGCAGTCAGCACAAGGAAGTTGTTCAGGCCAAGTGTTTGGGGCCGCAAAGCTCCAAGGTTTCCTCAGCTGCTGCCCAAGGCTGCTGACTCCTTTGATTGCCAGGGATCTGGGCTCGATGGAAAGCCTCTCAGCAAGGCTCCCTGAGGGACGTCCTTCTGCCTCAGGAACAGGATCTGAAGGTGGAACCGTAGCGTCAATGGGGACTCCACGGGCATCATCGCGATGATGGGGGCTCCGACTTCGAGAAGGAGGCCTACCTGTCGACATGTGGACCACTATAAGCGCCCCATTGTCGAGTCTTCTCTGGCCCATCTCCTCACGCGGCCAGCTGCGTCCTTGACATTCCAAGACAACATCTGGGCTATACTCAGCCCGCTCTTCGAGTTCTCCATCCAAAACACGAAGAACTTGAGCACGTGTCTGCAAAATCGGAAGTTGCAAGACCAAGTGCTTGATGAGAAGGTTCTGCTCCTTCCACTGTACCAGAGCAAAGACGGTCCCGCCCTGAAGCCAGGCATCATTGAATGCTATGGTATGAATCTGATCCCCATATCTGTTCGGCTGAGGCACAACGCTGACCCAAGCAAAGCCATCATGTGGTATCGGCATGACCTCATCCCAGGCACGCATGAGGCCGGCCCGAATAGCTGCCTCCATATCTAGCCTGGGAAGGTTGAAAGGTACATGTCTGACCAGGAAGCCCCTGAAATTGGGCCTATAGGCCAGAATAGTAATATCATCATCGTTCCCAACAGAGTCCGCAGATTCCTCCCCCTCGTCATGACCACGTTGCTCTCCTTCATCTCCTCGCCCATCGGGATCGTTGGGATCATCCGGCATCCTGGGTGATGTACTCGAAGTGCCGGGCCCTTCCGACTGAGCATCCTCCAAAGAGATGCCGAAGGCGTACGGGTTTTCTCCAATGGAGAGCTGCGAGCTGGGCCACAGACATCTGGCATGATAAACGTGTTCTGTATGCAATGGGACCCTTTCATCCTGAAATGTGGAGCCACCTGCTTGAAGGAAGTAATGTTGTGGCTGCAGGTCACAACGGCTGAGTGCATCAACCCCTCTGTCTCCGGGACTGAGCATGACACGCCTTACCTCCCTGGTGCATTCCACCACCACCACCAAGCAAAGCTGTACTTTCGCAAGGGGACCAGTACCACGTTGCAAAGTGAAGACCACGGGCTCGACAGACCCAGGCACAAACCCGGGTAAAAGCTCAGCCTGTTCCTTCACCAAGAAGTGCCGGCCGAGTGAAGGGTGATCCTCACAGACTCTCGTCTTCACATCTCGAAAGGTCGCCTGCTCGGGAAGATCGAACTGCAGACAACCTTCTTCATGGAAGACCACAACCCGCATCATGGCTGCAGGGCGGTCACCGCCCGCCTCAAAAGTGCACCCGGATGGAACGAACGGCACAAAGGGTCCCTTGCCGACTGGGTGCTGAGACGAAGTCTTATCTTCTGCACCCCCCCTAGCTGCAGGCACAATCGGCCCGGAGGGTTGGAGACCGCCCGACTTACCGCGCGGGGGTAGTCTCGTCTTATCGCGGCCGGTCTCGGCTGGGCTGCCCGACTCACGGCGGTTCCCCTGTGGTCGCGACTTACTGCGGCCAGCCCAGTGAGCTGAGTCGAAAAGGGGGGCATCCTTGGCACAATGCTCCTCAAACCTACTAGTCCTACCCGGGCAAGGGGGGCCACGCAGTCTGGCCGGGTAAACGGCTGCAGAAACTGGAGCTGCCGCCGGCTCCGAACTCAACCCTTGGCTCAAACGAGCTCTTGGTGCGGTCTTTTCCAGAGAGGCGCCTATTTGGAGTGCCCCTATCTCCGGCGCCAATTCCGGTACCAGCTGTTTTGGCTGGGTCTTGACTTGTTTTGAATTCAAACTGCAGATCCAGGGCCCTGAATTGCGCGCTGAAGGCACAAACAAAGTCCCACTCGAGGCATACGGAATGGTTCCACTCCCACAAACCATTCCCCAAGAAAAAGGGTGAGCTTGGGCCATCTCAGCACACCTCGGCCGGTCCTCCTCAGAAGACAGCCACAGCCATCCGCTGTAAGGTGTACGATTCCAACCCGGCCTGGCCTCAAACTCCTCCACGACTGCTAGAAACCTGACTTGTCTAGCCGGCCGGCTGCACTCCAGACCACCTCGTGCTTGCACACCATAGGCAGCCGGATCCCCGAGGACATCAGTGCATCGGCCTACATAGGGACCGGTTTCTCTATCAAAGACCCAGGCTTTTGCTGATCTGCCGGTGGTTCCGAGTGAGCCCTGCGCTTGACCTCCTGACCGGTGGCCCCATCTGACTGCACGGACGTGTTGATGCTCTGCAGGATCGACTTCTCCAGCTTTTCCAGCTGCTCGAGGTCTTCGCCCGATCGCTTCCTGTTCCCAGCACAGTCCGTCTCCGCGTCTGCCAACAGCTCGACGTCGTTCTCCGAGTCGACCTCCTCCGCGATGACCGGCGCCTTGCCATCCTCCGTGGCTGCAGCCTGGGCATTCAACATAGTCAGAGTCTTTCTTGCCTGTCGAACCTCTACCCTGGCTTTCTTGGCAGCCTCCTGCATCTCCAGGAGCTTGGTATTGTAATCGAGCTTCTGCGCCTCCAACTGCTTCAGAGTACGTTGGAGATGCTCCAGCCAAGACTTCTTCAAGGCCGTCTGTGCCGATTGCGACTCTTGAAGCACACGCCTTGCTGTCCCCAAAGCCGAAATAGTCTTGTGGAGCTCCTTCGTGAGATTGCGGCCATCCAACTGACCAGCCCTCTCCAAGATCTCCCTCACTCCCTCGGGCATCTGCGTGTCCAAGTAAGGACTGCATGAGCTCTGCCATCTCCGTGGAAGGCTGCGTGGAGGATGCCGGCGGCAAGGATCGCACCGAAGAGGAAGTAGCCATTGGAGGCGCCCATTCGGCTGGCTGATGGTACGGGGCGGGGGGATGCCACAGCTCTTCCCCCTTCTCCCCTTTGCCCTTTCCGCCACCCGGGGTCTTTCCTTTGCCCGCCGAGCGTCTCCTTCTGCTCGAACTGCTGCGCTTCCGAGCTCGACTTCCACCAGCGCCCTGCCACTCTTGCCTCCATGGATCTGACCCCCCAGGAGGACTCGTCCTTGCGCTCCACCAGGATTTGCCACAGCTGCCGCAGTAGCTGGCCGAGAGGGGGCTTTCGGACCAGCAAGCCGGGCAGGACCATCGCTTATCCATAGGCCGCGCCCAGGAGTGATGCCGTTGAAGCCGATCGAGGTGTAAACGGGCTTCTTCACCACCAAGATGAAGAAGGCCAGCCGACGCAGCACGGAGCCGGAACCGGGACCGCGACCTCACCCGCCGCGCACGCCGGTGCCAGCTCGGTTCCGTGAAAGGAGAGGCAATGGCTCCAACCACGGAAAGCAATCGCGGGCCCCAATCGGGCCCGCTAAGGCAAACAAGACAACTAGTCTTGAGCCTTTATATACCTTCTAGAGATACAAGAAGTTGGCCAGTGCCGGTGCTCCAGCTACCTGTTGGAAACGGTTGGGCATTAATTGTCCCATCATCTTTCACCTGAGTACCGACTCTTTTCATTGAGCCCGTCGGCTTCTCGCCGCGGAGTTGGGATCATGTCACCATGCCAAGCTCTTTTGCTTGTGCATTATTTGCGGAACATGTTGGGCTACCTTGCCTGAGATGAATTAGTAGTCTTACTCAATGCTTGCGGATACCACTGTAGTGTTTTCTCGAGAATTTGCACGAGGGGTTCTCCTGGTTATCTACTATGGTGGCAACTGGAAGATCTGGGTTACACATGAAAGCAGACCCTTGAATGAGCATTCCGTTGCCCGAAAGCAACCAACAAATGGTTTACATCAGCGAGCTCAGCATGAACACTGATCCAGACGAGCTCAGCCATGTTGTGACCTGCTTTGGTTTCCCGGCTCCCGAGTACAAGTACCAATTCGTTTCGGAGCTCGAGTCATGCGTTTGACAGACATGGCTCAACGCGCAGCGATGCCCCGTCTACGTACTGAGTGATCTGAAAAAAACAAACGAAAACACAGCGTGGCTTTGTACGGTTGGCAGCGACTGCTCTGCCTGTGCTGCTGCAAAACATATACCATCTGGAGTGGGGCGCAAACTTTGCAAAGCAATATTTTTAAGCGTCAAGTCTGACTGTGGCTCCCGCTTAGGTGCTGAATAAGCATGTTTCTTAGATTATTTGCTTTCCCAAACGAAAACAAAAAGGGGAACAAGGGGATGGCTAGTTGTGTTTAGTTCTTCCAGACCCCCTGTCAATAAAACATACCAAGGAAAGTTTGCCTTCTCCGCGCAGGAGAAGAAGTCAGCTCTAGACATTGCTCGCTGCGCCGGCCACCACGACATTTGCAAACTTCTGCAGGACAGATACATGATGCATGGTCAGAATGCTTTCAATCGCTGCGTGTATAATGTTGACTACTAGAAGGTGTCCATGGGTGTAGTGGGCTTGCGGAATCCATAGAACTTTTTGGTGTTTGGGGGGCAACATGGGGTGGCGGCTGGGCTCAAGACCGCATGACTATTGCAAGGGCCCTTTGGGATCATCCCGTTGCAAGTGCTGGCGTGTCAACTTTTGGAGAGCATGCAAGGGTAGCTCTTGCAAGATGCTTGTGAAGTTTTAGATGCAACTTCGAAAGCATCGGCCTAAGGTGGCACAGATCACAGTTTTTACGCGAGGCTTGCGGGGTACAGCGACCATGGACTTGTGGACTCGTTATCATGTCTTACCCTCCACTTCTTGAGATGCGTTGTTTCGGACGCATCATCAGCTGGAATGATACCACCATTGGATAACGTCACCTTAGTTAAGTGGACAGGCCCCCACACACTTATTGCCCATAGGCGTGCTCCTGCTAGGCCTTGCTTGGGGGTGGGGTGCCTTTGGCAGTGCAGAAGCCTCTGGTTTGGCTGCGGACGTCCAGGTTTGAGTATCGAAAAGGAGGAGATCGCTCCTTCACACAATTACACACATTGCGTTGGGTGAGGTTTCAGGCACCTCCCCCACTGTTTGGGCTTGGACGTGGCTTGCCGGCGGGGGACTTGTTCTTTTTGTTGGAGTGGGGTCGATGCACGGCAACTGCCAGGACTTCCTTTGACGCGCTTATTGGGTCGAGCCCTTAAGTTGCTGGTGTCAGCCTGGTGCATGTGCGTTCGCCTTCACGTGGGGGTACCCCTCCCAGTTTGCCTTTGAATGCTCTTCTGCAATCAACATTGATGTCACCTCAAATGCAAGTTCTGCTGTTTGGCCTCGTTTTTCGGTGGAGAGTTTGTTATTGCGGGGGAGTGCGATTGATTCACGCATTGGGAAACAGAAGCCTCAGAAGGAATTACCTTCAAAGCTCCAGTTCCTTTGGCCCCAGTTGGCCACTTCGGCTGTTGCTGCCTCACGCAATGCGGCCACATGAACGCCGTTGCCATTCTAGGCCCCGCAAGCTAAATGGAGTTTTCACAAAGCAAGCTTTCGCACCGGCTTTGATGCAGAATCGGACTAGCTTCTGGGTAATGCCTACCTTGGCAATGGGAAGCTTCCCAACAGTCCCAGTATCACCACGTTGCCAGAACCAGTCCTTTTGACTGTCCAGGTGCCTATTGCGATGTTGGCCTGATAGTTCCAAGCCCTGGCCACACTGTCAAGTCTGCAACAGAAGAGCCATTTTGCAATTACGAGGGTTTGACCAAGAAACGGCTCCAGGGCGGCTTGGGCCGAAGAAGAAGTGTTGTATGTTGAACAAGCATCTACCGCCCCACATGCTGGTTCTCGGGTTTGCTAAGCTGAGGTTCCTGCCACGCACAGCTGAGCTGCCTGCCATGCCCGGAACACGGAACTTGCTGGAGGAATCTATCGGACCTTGGGTTGCCCTGTAACCCGCCCGCTGCAAGATGACAGGATGGTTTTGGACAACTTTTGGGGAAGCGCCCTGTCGGCAACATAGGTGTGTTTGTTCAAGGGGTTTTGATTTATATAGTGTTACCTGTGAGGTGGGGGTACGTTAAGTAGCAAAGTAGCTGACACACCAGCCTGCAACAATCCAAACTTCCTCATCATTTGCGCTCAGACAGGGCCAGCGAGCATACTGAAGCCGCACGTAGAGTCCACATCCGGCAAAGTAAAGCGACCTGGGCCAGTGTGGTGGGCCCTGATGCATCTCGAAAGCACACAACAGCTTGTGGAAATGGTGGGATTCGGTAACATGTATTAAGTGATGCTTCCAGACTCAGAATTGAGTTAAGCGAATACACAAGCCCTAGCAATGGTGCATGTTGTCGACTACGCACGGCATCATTGCTTTCAAGCAACCTACTCGAGCAGGCACATACGGTATAGAGCACAGTGAGTGCATGTAGAGGTTCAGGCCCGATACTGAACGTTCTCCAAAGCAAAGCAGGGGCTTCGCGAACAAGTCCCCAACTCTAGGCGGCAGAAAGCTAGTTCGGGCGGCGGGCAGATCGGAGTCACTGCACGAAATCCGTCAGGGCAGTTTGGTGCTGGTAACGGCCCCGGGCCCATTTGCTGACGCCTTGCCTTGGGCAAGGCAGGTTCCGATTGGCGAGTCGGCATCCCCAACTTCAGTCAGATGCCACCAGAAAGTGAGACCTGCAGCTTCAAGCGAATGCTCCAAAATGTTCCAACGACCCAACTTCAGATGAATGTCAAAATATGCCTAGCAATAGCTTTCTCGTATTGGCCAATGTGACCACGTATGGAATGCTAGAAACAGATGTTCAGAATGAGTGTTTTTTGCGCACGTCCATTTGTTTAGCTCTTTTCACACCGCTATTTGATATTGAGGAACGTCCCCTTTTCCTGTTGCGCTACCCTTCTGTTGATGTGGCATGTTTTGGCACACCCATAGCTTCACCCTTGCCGTGCTCGGAAGATCGGCGCTGCCCTTACCCTGTAAAAAAGCTGTTTTTTTTTGGCGCGGCAAAGCAGTTTGTGCTTGGATCGCGCTGGTCAAGGCCTGCTCTTTGGAGAATGTTGGTGTTTTGTGCCTGTCTCAAAGCTGCCAACAATTGAAATGTGAAAGGCTCAGCTCGGGTGAAGCAGCGGGGAAAAAAGCAGGCCTTGGACAGAACGCTGGCATATTTTCCTTTAAGTCATTGCCAGAGCTGCTGCCAGCTGAGTAAAAGGACCTGCCCTCCGTCAGAACAAAAAATGTCCAAGCTAAAGAGGTTCTTGATGAGAAGGACGACACAGCCTGTTAGTTCCTTGCTGCTCGGAGCCTGGAGTCGTCAGTCCCATAGAGGGTCACACCACATGTGCAGTGTTTTTGGGCATGGAACACATAGAATGGGTCACTCTGGTGTTTGAGACATGAAGTCAAGTTGGGAGCAGTGTCCGCTTCCACGTTTCGTGGTCCCTTCTCCGTGCAGCGGCAAGTTGCCACTTGCTTCAGCGTGCTTTGCGCAGCGCTGAGCGACAGCAGCAGAAATGAGCACACGCAAGGGCGCAAGCATCATGCGATAGGTGCCGGGCTTTATTCCTGGAATGCATATGAACTTGTGCATGGCTTTCTTTGGATTAAGCAATGCTGAATGAGATGTTTGCGCCTCCAGGTCAAATTGTGTTTCGTCGTCGGTTCGGACCCTTCTCAATATACGGGTGCTAAATTTGTTGCGACTTCAGTCTTCTGTCTGATAACCTACGCCTGCCATCCAAGCAATTCCTTAACATCATGGCTTGTTTTTATCCAGGGAGAGCGGCTCACGGTGTCACGTAGCCGAGGACGGCGGGCTGTGAGCCACCTTGTCCTGAAGGTGAGTAGTATTTCTAAAGGCTTCTCTCAGAACGGGTCCCCATCATCAAAGAATCAGGGTGGTCAAGCTTCCCCGGCGAGATTGCCTAAGCGTTGCTGTGGATCCTTTCCTCACCGCGCGAAGCTGAAGTTAGCTCAGGACGGCGATGCCTCTGCCTCTCACACTGAAGACAGCCCTTGCGCTTGGCAGGCTCGGCAGGGCGCGAGGCGCAAGGGCTGGCGATCCAGGCTTTGAGGCCTTGCCCGGTCGAAGACGAGCTGGTGGTTTTGCTGTTTGCCTTTGACTGCGTGCAAGTTCACTTTGCTAGAAAACACACATGCGTGCATAGACGCAGTCATTTTGCAGTTCATAGTTATGTTGCATCTATGCACTCTGTACCTCGGTGACCTCTACTTTGTGGGTCTCTCACAGGTTTGTTTGAAGGGGTACCCCGGTACCCCCAATAAATGCTTGAAATAGTGCGGGCTGGGGCACGTTGTTCTCATTGGATAGGGGAGGAGTTTCCTCCACTGTTTGGACCATGCAATCAGCAACTGTAATTGCCAATGCAGATTAGAGATTTGGCTGGTTGGCTCCTGCTGGCGCGAAATCAGCTTGGCTCCAAAGTTCGTGGATGTGTGGCACTGTTGCCACATGTTGCTTAGATTGTGAGCCGAGCCATGCCGCTGCCGGACAATGCAAGTCGCATTCCGTGGCCTGGTATGCAGAGACACCTCAGAACCCTAAGCCCCACGATGCGCATGTTGCAGTAGCGCATTGTCCTGCATGCTTACCGCCATGGATGGTGCAGGCATCTCAGCACTTACCTGTTATGAAATTAACATGCCTCAACTACTTAAACTAACAAATTCTTTAAGATGAGGCTTGAGCTAAGCTTGGGCTTTTGCCGTCAGCTTCGCGAGTGCAAATTGGGAGTCAAAGATGCCGGCAAACCCTACGTACATCATATTAGGCTCATCCTGCTGCAACTGCACAAGTTTTCCAGTGATTTGTTTGCTCGGTTGAATCGCATGGCCCACAATTTTGCCTGGCCGTGCTATCCAAATGAGTGTGTGTGTGTGTGTGTGTCTGTGTGTGGTGTGTGTGTGTGGTGTGTGTGTGTATGTGAGTGTTTTTCTGACACGCCTCCAAGTGTATATTGAGAGCCCCTGCCCTGCTTTGAAGAAGGCAACATTGTGCGTTGATACTGCCTCCGAAGAACTGACCAAGGCTGAATCCTCAATTGTTGATAGGCCTCGCATGGGAGTACGCATTTATTAATTAGAGGGCGTGCAACGAGCTCATGGCTTGTTAAAGTCAATACTTTTTAGCATGTTGTAACCACCTTCCACGCGTACCCTCCATCAGACAGAATGGAAAAATCGCTTGCAAGCGGTAAGGTCATCTCCAGGTTTTCCGCTTTGTGGACCTTTTCTTGAGTCTGTTTCTTTTTGGCTGGCGGTGAATGTCAAACTTCCTTCCTGGCTGAAAGTGATACAGAAGGAATACTGGCCGCATACCTCAGGCGTCCGGAAACCCGGTTGAGCTAAGGGCGACGGAGATCGGATGTGCGCAGCTCACGGAGATCACGACGTACATTTCGGGCATGGACGCTTTGAACGGTTTTCCGCTTGTGGCTTTTGGGCCGGTGGAGTGGGGGCTGTGTTTCTCAACTTTCCTTTGGTGCACGGCGCACGGGAATGTGGGATGCTGGTTCTCAGCAGGGAATGAGGGGAATGACCCCTACAAACAATCCCTTGTGGTTTCCTTCAAGACAACCCCTAGGTTCATTGCCAAACCCTGGCTCATTCCCACAGTAAGATGAAGCTGAACAAGGCCTGCAAATCATCGCGAAGCACAGAGACATCACTCCGTGTGACCTTAGCAGAACGGGCACCCCAATCCGCAACGCATTTACAGGCTTTGCCATTTAGGGAGCGGGAATGGTTTCGGATGAATCTAAACTTGCATCAAAGGACCGCTTGTAGCTATCTACTATGTCAGACTCATCACTCTGTACGGCATGACTGCATCAGTTGACAAAGTTGTTTTGCCTTCCTGCTGCGAAATGCATTCGTTGGGTCGGCATGAATATATATATATATATATATTCACTTGCTTAGCATTGCCGATAATTTGCCATCCGCTCGGAAAACATTCGGCAACCTAGTCTGATGTTAAACTTGCTCGAGTTGTGCTTGAGTTGTGCTACGCTGCCCCGTGCGAAGGTGGCCAACCAAGGGCATGTCCATAGTCGTGCTCATATGGACGCATAAACCTTTGAGGGGCATGACAACCCATGCCTCACTTCACTATATTTGATGATTCGGTTAAGTCGCATTGTGGTACCTTAAGATGTGAACCTGCCAGAATAAGCTGTTGCCAGTTGCTCTCACCCGACCCCAGCTGTGCTGATTGGTTCGACAAGATGTAAGGAGATCACGCGCCCGCAGATCATGCGTGCGGTCCGTACACACATGGCCCTGGCAAACTTTGGTAAAGTTTTTCGGAGCGTCGGGGACTTCTACGGAAGGAGCCAAGAAACCAGCCGCATTCAGGACAGGCGAGTGCGGGCCTCAAAGCACAGAGGGTCCTTGAAGCAGTTGTGCCCTAGGCGCAAGGGTGGCAAGGGGCCAGCTGAAGATAGACAATGAGCATCCGGAACGTTACCATTGCAAAGATCAAGTGGGGTTTAGCAGTTGCACAGATAGTTGGTGGCTTACCTAGGATCTGCACTCTTGAAGGCTAAGATGAAGAACAAGCAAAGATGGTGCAACACCATGGGTTCACAGAGAGAGAGGGAGGGAGAGGCCAAGTCCTTGGGTGGCGAATGCAACTGCGAAGCAACCCAATGTGGTTTTTGCAGGGCAGTGCACAAGAAATATCTGGAGGCATGTGCTGTTTCGGCGGGCCAACTGTTCAGCCTCAACGTAGTTTGTCAACGTATCTTGTCGGCATAATGGGGGTGTCTCCAAATATGGGCGCCTAGTTAAACCCTGCCAGGAGTTTTGGAGCCATACTTGGCATCGAAGCCCGTGGCAGAAGATCTTGACCTTGTTGGTGCTGCATAATGGGCCTCCTGCTGCTCTCTTCGGCACTCTCGGCGCTTTTCTCGCCGCTGGTCTTTATGCGTGCGGAATTCTACCTGGGATTCAAGGCGGCGACGGTGTGATTTGTATTTGGCCATTGGTCTTCGGACTGGGCTGTTCTCTACTGATCTTGCTGCTTTGGCGCGGCCAGAAGCTAGTCTTTGTGGACCGGATGTGCATCAACCAAGTGAACCCTCGCTTGAAGGCAGAGGGGATTGTAAGCCTGGCTGGAATTCTCAAGACGTCTGAGTCAATGCTTGTGTTGTGGGATGAGGCCTTTGGAGAAAGGCTTTGGTGCCTCTTCGAACTCGCTGCATTTCTGAAAAGCGCCGAAGGAGGAAGAAAGCCATTGACCATCCGCCCGACCTGTCTTGGACACTGCACTATCTTGTCTTTTCTTTTTTTCGGCGGACCTCGGCTTGCATTTGCAGCTTCAAACTCACAAGTTGTTGGATTCCCGGAGACGGTGGAGGGCTTAGCGACTTTTCTGCCCCTTTTCTGCGTGGTGGCCATGCTCTGCTTGTTCATACCTGTAAGAGCCTTTCGGCGCTTCTTCCATTCCGTGGAGGTCATGCACACGCAGCTGGCATCAAGAAACGGCATCTCCCAGGCCATGTGCAGCTGCTGCAGCTTCGACCACAAAGCTCCGGATGGCACCCACATGGCCTGCGACAAGGAGGGGTCTCAAGAGTGGATCGGTTTTCTGCTGGCTGCCAGACTTTTTTTCCAATGGCCCATCCAAATTTTCGACAGGAGCTGATCCAGGAGATCATCACCTCGTGGTTTGGAGGCCAAGAGGCGTTCAACGACGCGGTCACCAGGCGCGCTGCCCGGGTACTCTCATACCAGCTGGAGAGGGAGGCCTTCTCGTACGCCTGGTGTGTTGGCATCAGCTGTCCCTTTTTTTGGGGCTGGCTCAACCTGGCTGCGGTGCCCGCAGCCGGCCAAGACTGGGAGTCGGCTGGGCAAATCGTTGCTGTGGGCTTGATATCTTGGCTGGGTGGCATTCCATTCGTAGTGGTCCCCACGGCCGCAATTGCATGTTTTTTTTTTGGGTTTAGCCTCTCTGACAGTTCGATTTGATGGTTGAAGGATGCGCTTTTTGCAGGATTTGTTCGGTTGAAGGGAGAGTCCTCCAATGCCACTTGTTTGACCGCAAAACTTTGTAGTGCCTTGTGAGACTTCCGCCGGTGGAAGACGCGAGAAAAGTACTTAGTTCTGTTTCTGCCCATCGCGAGCTGAGGCATACTTCCTGTCTTTGTGCCGCTTGACTTGCAAGACCGAGGCTTCCAGATGCAAGGAGGTTCTCAAATCCTTGCTGGTGGCCGGCGGGGTGTCGTGCCCTATAATGCTGCTGGGGGCTGCCTATGCGCTCTCCGGAAATTTGATTTCGTCCTTCATGTGGCGACAGATCGCCTATGCTGGCTTTTGGTTGAGCATGTGGGGTATGAAAGTTGCCTGCGATCGCTGCTCTCAGTCAAAGCCATGCGAAGGAACTTCGGCCAGTGCCCATCAGCACCAGCTCGGAACTGGGTTGAGTAGGATGACGGCTTTAGGATTCACATCTAAAGCTTCCCAAGTACGCAGCTTTTCCTCCACTCTGCAAAAGCAGGTGGTTCCAGCTGCTACTGAACTACAGCGCACAGATCCGTCTACGGATGCGGTGTTACCGGTTCCGCAACTTGTTTCATTTTAGTGTTCCCGTGCCACCCCCGCAATGTCAGAAGCCGTCAGTGCCTGGCAAGACAAATCTCACGAGGTTCGACACGAGGTTCGCCAGAGATCCTTCGAAAGGGAATACCTTGCGATTTCGACCCGCAACCTGTTCATGGGAAAGTATAGGACATGACCAATTTCTTGTCATGAGGGGTTGGGGGCGGGAACGCAGACCCCCTGCAGTCTGCTTTCAATGCGTGCAGTTGCTGGGAGAATTTTGGGTCCAGATGCATGAATGCATTGGACTTGTTGAGACTTTTTGAGCCTGTCGAAGTGAGGTGTGGTATGAAACTTCGGAGTTGTTTGCCTTACAGTTGGGATGGGAGGATGCTAGCTTGTGAGATGAAAACGCCAACTTTGTGCGGACACGTGACCAGTGCGGCACTTGGGTTATTTTCTGTTGCGCACAGCTACCGGTGCTGTGACATGCAGCTTGCCCTCCACTCTGTACAAGCAGGCAGACACGTCCACGGATGTGTTGCTTCCGTTTCCGCAACTTGCTTCACTTTAGCATCCTGTGCCACACCCGCAATGCCAGAAGCCGTCAGTGCCTGGCAAGGCGGATGCCAGCACGAAATTCGACACGAGGTTCGCCAGAGATCCTTCGAAAGGGAATACCTTGCGATTTCGACCCGCAACCTGTTCATGGGAAAGTATAGGACATGACCAATTTCTTGTCATGAGGGGTTGGGGGCGGGAACGCAGACCCCCTGCAGTCTGCTTTCAATGCGTGCAGTTGCTGGGAGAATTTTGGGTCCAGATGCATGAATGCATTGGACTTGTTGAGACTTTTTGAGCCTGTCGAAGTGAGGTGTGGTATGAAACTTCGGAGTTGTTTGCCTTACAGTTGGGATGGGAGGATGCTAGCTTGTGAGATGAAAACGCCAACTTTGTGCGGACACGTGACCAGTGCGGCACTTGGGTTATTTTCTGTTGCGCACAGCTACCGGTGCTGTGACATGCAGCTTGCCCTCCACTCTGTACAAGCAGGCAGACACGTCCACGGAGGTGTTGCTTCCGTTTCCGCAACTTGCTTCACTTTAGCATCCTGTGCCACACCCGCAATGCCAGAAGCCGTCAGTGCCTGGCAAGGCGGATGCCAGCACGAAATTCGACACGAGGTTCGCCAGAGATCCTTCGAAAGGGAATACCTTGCGATTTCGACCCGCAACCTGTTCATGGGAAAGTATAGGACATGACCAATTTCTTGTCATGAGGGGTTGGGGGCGGGAACGCAGACCCCCTGCAGTCTGCTTTCAATGCGTGCAGTTGCTGGGAGAATTTTGGGTCCAGATGCATGAATGCATTGGACTTGTTGAGACTTTTTGAGCCTGTCGAAGTGAGGTGTGGTATGAAACTTCGGAGTTGTTTGCCTTACAGTTGGGATGGGAGGATGCTAGCTTGTGAGATGAAAACGCCAACTTTGTGCGGACACGTGACCAGTGCGGCACTTGGGTTATTTTCTGTTGCGCACAGCTACCGGTGCTGTGACATGCAGCTTGCCCTCCACTCTGTACAAGCAGGCAGACACGTCCACGGATGTGTTGCTTCCGTTTCCGCAACTTGCTTCACTTTAGCATCCTGTGCCACACCCGCAATGCCAGAAGCCGTCAGTGCCTGGCAAGGCGGATGCCAGCACGAAATTCGACACGAGGTTCGCCAGAGATCCTTCGAAAGGGAATACCTTGCGATTTCGACCCGCAACCTGTTCATGGGAAAGTATAGGACATGACCAATTTCTTGTCATGAGGGGTTGGGGGCGGGAACGCAGACCCCCTGCAGTCTGCTTTCAATGCGTGCAGTTGCTGGGAGAATTTTGGGTCCAGATGCATGAATGCATTGGACTTGTTGAGACATTTTGAACTTGTCGAAGTGAGGTGTGGTATGAAACTTCGGAGTTGTTTGCCTTACAGCTGGGATGGGAGGATGCTAGCTTGTGAGATGAAAACGCCAACTTTGTGCGGACACGTGACCAGTGCGGCACTTGGGTTATTCTCTGCTGCGCACAGGTATTGCATTTTCCATTCATGACACCAGACTTCCAGCCAGTCCGTTTGTGGCTCAGGGTGATGACGGACGGCTGCAAGAAAGTGAAGAATGCAGCATAGATTTGCAGAGGCGATGCCATTTTTGCCTCCACACTGGGAATGTCAACCTTGGCAGGCTCAGCAGAGTTCAGCAAAAGCAGCTGCGCGAGGGCGGGGCAGGTGCATTCGTTCCGGGTTGGCAAAATTGTGTGTAATTATGGTTTCGTGGTTTTAGATCAGAAGCACTCAAACCTAGTGGCATAGCCAGCATAGCGCTTTTAGCAGAGCATGTGGTGTGAGACAAATGGTGATACACGTATGAGAATCAGTGCTGCTTCGTTGCTGCCTACTTATTGTCAGCAGTTTCAAAGTCTGTGGTGGCATGCACAATGTTGGTGTTTGGTGTTGATTTGTTCGTTGAGCAAAGTGGCGCCGATCTGTGCAGGATTGCACAGAGCGATTGGGATTAGATATTAGCAAGTGCGAAGCAGACGCTGACCAACCCCAAACCCGAGCTTGAATTACAGTTTCGCCGAGTTCTTGAGTGGCTGAGCCCTGTTTCTCAGTGAATTCCCGAGGAAGCAGCCAAGGACCCATTAGGCTATATCGTTAAACCCTGCTTGCGATTGTGTCGGATAGTGTTCCGAGGAAAGCATTGCCGGGTAAGAGTCGTATTCTGACATGTTTAGCAACGATTTGGCTCTTAGAAGGGCTGGGGCCAAGGGCACCGTAGGCTTGGTATCCAGGGACTGTCGTGCCTGACCTTCAAAAAAAGCAACACTGGCAACTGCCCAAAACTGCAAGCAACCAGCATGCTGGAATGGGGATATTGCTACATCCTCCACATGCCCAGAGTCATTTGTACCCGTCTTTCAGATTTCAGCAAACCTCCCTGCAAGCTTGGCCTAGATCAGTGGATTCCATAAAAGTGGGCTCCCTAAAAATTGCCCTGGACCCAAATGAAATAGTTCCATGTGTCTACCGTGGCCCTGGTTGCGACTCAGAGCCTTGGCCAGGCAGCGCGGCATTTGCATTGTCAAGCTTGCCAAATGGGTATTTCTGACGGTACGTCTTGTGAAGTTGGCACCCTTTTAAGGGCTTTTAAGGAAACCACAGCGGACAGACCCAAGTCGTAGACCCTTGAGGCAGCTTTCTGTCTCATTGATGAGCTTCAGCCTTTGTCGCCATGCTGGAATTTTTGGTTTTTGGAACTCTCGGGGCTCTGTGCTTGGCAGTGTCCATCTTCCAGCTCTCCTTGGTCACCGTCATTTTGCTGCTGTTTTTGCTGCTGATCGCCCTCAGGGCCATCATCGGCTTTCCCGCCACCATGCGAGGGGTAGCCGCTCCCCTTGGACTCCAGCACGCTTTCTGAGTCATGTTCCAGTCTACTTTGGGGTAGTGACATGGGCAATGGTGGCAATGGTGAAAGGTGGCAATGGGGTAGTGAAACTTGCTGGTCGAAAGTGGTCAATGCTGGCTGGATATTGTTGATATAAGGCTGTTGTTGTTGTCGGTTACTTACTACCCAGCAAGCAAACAGGCAGGCAGGCAGGCAGGCAGGCAGGCAGGCAGGCAGGCAAGCAAATCAAAGCATTCAGTAGCTACCATCCAACCAGTCGCCCCAAGGACAGCGCGACTAAATCAGACACTATCCAACCACTCGTGTCCAGAAGCAACATTTCCTCCAGCAGCATGTTTGAAGGGAGTCTTTAAACCAATGTTTCAGGCGGAGGGGGAGACCGCACCGGGGCAAGTACCTTGGCGGGTGTACCTGGAGGTGCTGCTGGGCACCAAGGCGTCCCGCTCGCAGGCGTGAGGAGTGTGGCTAGCAGGGTTGTGGGACCAAGGGGTTGTCCCCACTTCTGTGATACAGGAAAATCTAACCCTTTAAGTGCGGGGTTAGTCTTTGGGAAGCTTTTTGTTTGTTTTATCACAAAAGTGGTCATTTCCCAAGGCCCTGGTGACGAGTGACTCGTGCCCACTACCTGGGGCCAGGACCGTTCATGAATGGTCGTATTACTCCCACGGCTCCCTTGTGGGCTCTGAGTCAAAGTTGCACTGGGATGGGGCGAGGTGCCATGGACTCATACTCCGGGATGGTGGCAAGCAGGCACGCAGGCAGGCAGGTAAGGCAAGCAGGCAGGCAAGCAAAGAAGCAAGCAAGCAAGCAAGCAAGCCAGCACGCACGCACGCACGCAAGCAAGCAAGCAAGCAAGCAAGCAAGCAAGCAAGCAAGCAAGCAAGCAAGCACCTGTAACCACCTACCCGAAACCCTCACAAACACAACCTTTCCCCCCCTTCAACTAATGTAGATTAATCACTGGCCCCCTGACCAATCCGAGCCAACTCGGCCTAACTCTTCTAACCCAGCCCGGACCAAGCAAATCGACCGTAAATCATCCGAGCGCCACACCTAAACAATTAGTAAACCCCTGCCCTCCCAAGGCTATCCCGAAGCCCTTCCTGGAATATGAGCAAGCTCAGCGTGAGCCATGTTCAACCATTTTTTTCAGTAGACCCCAAACCCACCCGAAACCAGCTCCATCCTGCCCCACTCTGCCAACCCAAATCCCAGTTCTAAGCCTGGCTTCACAAACCTCAAGCCCACCCTACGATCGGTAAATCACTTCATGCCCACCCTGAGCCTGCCCCAACCCAAAGCAAGAATAGGGGGCGCCCTGCCTTCTAGTCTTCCAGCATTGTTTGGTGTTTCGTGTTGGCATCGTGTTCCGGTATTCCTTTGTCCCAGTATTATTTTAGGACTGGCTTAGTGGTTCAGTATTTATTCGTTTATCATTGGTGTTGAATCAGACTATGAGGTGGACATGAAATTTCTTACTTCCCCCTTCAAGATGTTTGACTATTCTCGACCAGGGGCTTCCCTGTACCCCGTTTAAAAACTTGCCTGATGAACCTGGCCGTTTGTGGCGGTCAGTTCAGCTCTGGCGCATTGGAGCGCTGGCCGGGCCGAGCCAGGTTTCCGGTGAGGGCACGCCGCGCTTTCAGTTGTGCGCAATGCCTGTGAACCACTTCGGCGAAAAGGTGGGGCCTAGAATCAAGCCCGCCAGCGGCCGAATCCTGCTATGTTGAAGCTTGCGGCCTTGTGGTTTTGAACACGTTGTGAGAATGTGCTTCTAGAAAAGCATTTCTGGCACATGTCGCAAATGAAAAACCAGGTTTCCTTTGAATGCCAGCTATGCAGACAGATGTGACTCAAGCTTGAACAGAAATTATTGGACCCTCCATATAGTCGTTTGTTCTTGGTGAAGCGTTGGACGGGTTCACGGCTGACACCTGCGTCCAAGGGGAAGGCCTTTGAGCTTGCAAAGTCAACCTCTCAGTTTGCAGTCAACTATTTAAGCAGGAGCAATCCTAGGGTGGTGCAAGCAGACTTGAGCTTGTGAGTTTCAAAGGTAAACACCCAAATCCCGCAAACAGCTTCTGGCGCCGTTTGCTGACGCACAGCCTGTTGATTCGAACGACTGGAATTGTTAAACATAAGCAGTTCCCATGGTTTCTCTGTTGACAACCAAACCTTACACTCCTCTTAGCGCCGCCTGGGAGGTCCGCTTTTGCTTGGACCTCTTGGGGGTTCCGTATGTCGAAGCCGACCGCTGCGGGCTGTTGAACGTTTTCCTCTTTGGGCAGTCGGTGCCGTACCTGGTGGATCGACACAGCTGCAGCCGCATCGGAAACTCCGATGAGACCCGGCCCGGGACGGCACGGACCGAGTTGGTCCCTGCGTGCCGTTTTTTTTGTTTTTTTGTTTTTGTTTGCAAAGTAGCAACCATATATATATATATATAAATTTAAAGATAAGGGGAGGGGTAATTAATAGTTCATCTTTTCAGGCCATCTAGATAGCACGCACCGTCTAAGTCCACGGTTGCCTGGATTCTGACCCCGAAAGCAGATGATTCCCTGTTTCCTACTGTTCGGGTCACGGGGCAATGGGCATCAGGATTGAGCACAGCTTCAATGCCCCAGTGTTGATCCCTTGGGGAAAGCCAGAAGCTTCAAAAAATTACAAAACAACCCCTGCAAGAAAGATGTGTGAGGTTTGTGCCGATTGCAAACACACCGGTCCATTTTGAATCTCAGGAATGCTTGCGCTACCTCTTTGCCATCTACAGCCCCAGAAATGCCGCTGCTGATCGGCTGCTGAAGCAAAATGAGGACACCGTGAAGTGGGAGAAGGACCTGAACAAGTTGGGCCATGCCATCCAGGGCTATGCGTATTTCTTTCTGCTTGGCCCTTGGGCTTGAGGTTCTGAAGTGTTGCTCCGTCCCGTGGAAGCTTGAAGGACTTGTTTCGTTTGGTCAAGGCCAACTTTGTGTGGCTTGCTGATGTGCAGCCTCCCAATTGTTTGTCGTGGGCGAAGCTGTTGGCCAACCGGTGATGACGTCCCGTGTCCTTCCCAGAAAGCCTAAGGTAGTTCTGAGAGACTTTGGGCTCGGGAGGCGTTTCTAGACATCTCAGGCGCCTCAGGCTCCAGGACCTCCGCTTTGACTGCCTGGGGCGGATTTGAGCCTCTTTGCCCCTTCTACCAGCGGTGTGTCTCGGCGTGAAGGCAATATTCGGCGTGATGGCGGGTTTCCTCACTTCAGTGGAAGATGTTGTTCGTCAGGGTTCACCGCTAATTGCCCTAGCGCATAAGTTGCAGGCTCAAGAGTTCTTGGTGGGGCTACGGGTTTAGAGTGGAATCGTTCATGCTTCATCTCGGGAATGCGTGCAGTCGATTTCGGAGTTGCGCAAGGCCGCTGTAGGGGCGCGCCACTGTGAAGGATTTTGCGGCAGGAAGATGTAACACGGAAAACGTCATTCCCGTGTCAACGGTAGTCCTCTTCTTTTTTTGCGCACAGCGGATTGGTTTTGTACGATCATCGCGGTGCCCCCCGCCTGAGCCTGCTGGCTGAGCGAGGCCTTCTTTGCTGGCTCTTCCCTGTCTTCAAGTTCTTCATGAGGAATGCCTTCAAGCTGCACGACGAGCAGCGCAATTTGCCACGCCTGGAGTTCATCGAGAAGCTTCTGGACCCTGGGGCAAATGCCAACGTCGAATGGCCGGCCAACGTTATTTGTTATCATGGCTCAACCCCACCATATCCGACCTGCTTACCCTCTTCAGATTTCGGAAGAGAAAAGGATGTCCAGCATATTCGTCAAGGCATTCGCCATGTGTTGGCAATCCCTTGTCGTCAACCTTTCTTTCCCGGCCTTTCCAGGCCTACATCCGTTTGACGTTTGTGCGGCTCGTGTGGCGCCATGCGCTAGATGCAAGTTGCGGGGTGCTGCAGGTGGGTGGTTAAATCGTTGCCACTTATGGGCATGAGCCAATGATCGCCGACCCAAAAATACTTTATGGGAGGGGGGTCACACCCACAAGGAAAAACATTTCCTCAGACATATTCTATGAGTGCCAGGGGGCAGGCACCAAGAGGCCATGTGGAGTCGGAAGGGGAGGCCTTACAAGGCAGGCGCACCATCCGGAAAATGGCCCAACTTCAACAAGGCGGGCACCATGTTTGCAGGTTGTGCATGAACACCCTCAAACCTGGCTGGTGGACATCAAATCGCATAAATCCACCCCCGCAAGTGATGCCCACCTATGGGTTCCAAGTCAAATTCATATTTGTCAAACATGTGTGAGCGCTGCGGGGCTGGAAGGACCGCGTGGATGCAGCGGTGGGGCCAGAGGGTTTGGGGTACATTGTGGGGGACCACCTGACCTATGTGGACATCAGCTTCGTGGCGTTGATGGGGCCCATGATGCCATCCAGGATTTGCCTCAAGGCCAGGCTTCGACCTCCCTTCAAAAAAGACTGGCTGGTGAATGCTCCTTACAGGGCGCCATGGTCCGGCTTTTTCGATCATAGTTTTGCCCAACAGCTCAAGGCAGAGGGGACAGCCGGCAAACTACCTGAACAGGGACCTCCCGTCATACAGATCCATTTGTTGATCTTGCTTGAAAGGGCAAACAAATAATTGAAGGGTGTATACGGGACACCCATTCCGTTGCGGTGCAGGTGTGTGTGTGTGTGTGTGTGTGTGTGTGTGTGTGTGGGTGCGTGCGTGCGTGCGTGCGTGCGTGCGTGCGTGCGTGCGTGTGCGTGGGTGCGTGGGTGCGTGCGTGCGTGCGTGCGCGCGCGCGCGTGCGCGTGCGCGTGCGCGTGCGCGTGCGCGTGTGCGTGCGCGTGCGCGTGCGGTGCGGGTGCGGGTGCGGTGCGGGTGCGTGCGTGCGTGTGCGTGTGCGTGTGCGTGTGCGTGCGTGCGTGCGCGTGCGCTGCGCGTGCGCGTCGCGTGCGCGTGGCGCGTGCGCGCGCGTGCGCGTGCGCGTGTGCGTGTGCGTGTGCGTGTGCGTGCGTGTGCGTGTGCGTGTGCGTGTGTGCGTGTGCGTGTGCGTGCGTGTGTGCGTGCGTGCGTGTGTGCGTGTGCGTGTGCGTGTGCGTGTGTGTGTGTGTGTGTGGGGTGGGTGTGGGTGTGCGTGTGGGTGTGCGTGTGCGTGTGCGTGTGCGTGTGCGTGTGCGTGTGTGCGTGTGTGCGTGTGTGCGTGTGTGCGTGTGTGCGTGTGCGCGTGCGCGTGCGCGTGCGCGTGTGCGTGTGCGTGTGCGTGTGTGTGTGTGTGTTGTGTGTGTGCGTGTGTGTGTGTGTGTGTGTGGGTGTGTGCGTGTGTGCGTGTGTGCGTGTGTGCGTGTGTGCATGTGTGAAGCAAGTCGAGTTTGTAATAGCTGGTTTTTACACGCAGACGACGGCGCAGCAAGCAAACATATCAATATGGCACACAAATGTTTTGTTTTGGGCAAGAAGGCCAGAGCCGGACAACGGCCGAAATCAGGGCCCTGTCAATCGTCCCTTGTTTGGCCGCTTTCTGGAGGTGTGCTGTACTGTATCCCCGAGCATTTGGGATCTTTAGACCCATGCGGTTCTTGTCAGCAGAAAAACATATCGAGGAAACCACTTTGCAGGAGGCAAGGAACTGAAGGCAACTCCAGTGACCTGGTGCCCGGCTTTGCCAGGAGGGCAGCCCTTGGGCACGGAACCGCTTTAAGTCCTTCTCGTCCTCGTCCGGGGTGGGCATTCTGGACGAATACCCACAGCAGCTGAGGGACTTTGAGGCGGGTCTCAAACGCGGGACTGGTTGTAATACACTTTGCAGGTCCATCGCGATTTCGGACTAATGTCCACCAGCCATTTTTGTGGCTGCTCCCCATTAAAACTAATGAGAATCTCACATCGTCGTTTCATGGCCATTTATAGGGGGATGTCATTTCAAGGGGCATTGTTTGGGAAGTAAAGCAATAAGCTAAGGCCCTGTGTTCCACGAATCTGACGAGAATGGGCTTTTGAAGGGTTGCTGTACAATTCCAAATTCTGATTCTGTTGAATCATCACACTTCACAGGATTTGAGGGAAGCACAACATGGAAGGCAACGCTTAAAGGAGGTGCCCTTTTTAAACGCAACAGCTAGTTGGGGCTCATGGTCACAACTCTTTGGTGTCTTCTCTTGTGCCCTAGGTGTGATAGATGCTTCTCCAATATTGGGGAACTTGCCCCCTCTTCGAAGAATCCTAGCAGGGGGCTCAACAAACGATGCGCACATGTTCCTCCAAATGAAAGCCCGTGAATCCTACCTGTACCCGGATTCAACAGTGTTGCTTTGTAGTGTGTTGTTTATGACATCCAAGGCTTCGCAACGTGTTGGATCTTTACTCCGGACAAAGTGACATCTTGGGAAGCTGAGTAAACGTGTGCTTTATTAAGGACTCGTAAACTCGGATGCCAATGGAGGGCATTCAGCACGGCATGTTTCAGCCTAGGTCATCGGGGTATGGCGCGGTAGGGCTTGCCAATTGACCACTTTCAGGTTGAGAACCAGGATACCAGGCGCTTCTAGCATAACATGACAAAGCAGCGTATCCACTTTCCGGGATGCTTTAGATTCTGATGATGACGCTGCGTCATTCTATGGCCCCATTTCTACGGACAGTGTCCATGCCACGCATCAAGGGCTTTAAAGGGCCTTCGGCTCGGGGCTTGCTGGCAGATTGTCACTCTTTACCCCAGGAAGATCCCTTTCTGGGGGGGAACTAGCTGATTTCTACCTGCTCCATTTAGGACATGGTGTTTTCCATGAAGCCGTTGTAGGAACCTTCACGCGGACCTTTTGTTTTGTTGAATCTGAGTTTGGAGCGGGTGAGCGTACAGCAGATATCAGCAGTTGTGCCGCAGATCATACCAACCATAGCTGCTAGTAGTGGAACCTACAACATTCACGTACAAAGTCTGCACAGGCGCAAGCCAAAATCAAGCTTCAAAAGAGTCACCCATCTAGCTAGTAAGCCAAGCAACTAGTTAAATAGTTTGGTAGTTGGTGAGTGCATTGGCTAGGTTGGCCTTTTAGTTGGCTAGCTATCTCAATCGTTGCGTTGTCTTTGTAGTTGTCGGATAAACCAACGAAACACAACACAACTCTCCATCCATCGTAAAACTTGATTGCTCGTGCCTGTGCTGGTGTTGGATTGCACCCAACTAGCTAGCTAGCTGATGATTTTACCTGCAGCTCAACTCTCAGAGCCTTGGCAGTTCGGATGGTGAAACGTGGGCACTGAAGCAAAATCAGATGTTTCTCAGAACGGAAGTGCGGGCCCTTGAGCGAGGGTGGGGGGCACAATCAACAATATACATAAAATGCACATACAGCTCTTCCTGCACCATTCATACGATCATGTGATGCTGGTTTAATATATGTACATTCTCTGCGGTGAATGGCCTCCCCCATTTCAATGCCGGCGTGGCGCGGCGTAGCCTCAGATGAGGAGAAGACTGCACGGAGGCCCACCGGCAAGTTCGTGTGTCGGAGACTTGGTCAGAAGCAGCCGACATCTCAAAGGAGTCCTTCCTATGAAGCTCTTCGAGTGGCAAGCTAATTTGGGTTTTCTTTGCTTTAGTTTTAAGATTCAGTAACCTCCTTGGTGAATTGGACATCGAAGCGGCTGGATGCCTATGTGTTTACCTACTAATTCAAGAAGCCTGGTCTTTGCCTACTTGGCCCAAAGCAGCAGGAAGCACTGTGGGCAGGACCGATTTGAAGGTAAGGTACCAGCCTTTGCCACGAGCCGAACTCATATGCGCTGCATTCTGCTACAAGGTTTGACTAGGCTTGTCAACATGGAGTGTAATTCCGCCCCTTTGTGTTCACTTATCTAGATGACAGGTTTTGAAGGGTTGAGAATTGTGGCCCTGATCTTGACCTTTGTGTTGATGAGCATTCGAGTCGGGATCTTTGGAGGGTGCCAATTGCGCTGCAACCTGCCTGCGGAGGTTCTTCCTTCCCTTGAAACGCCGAAGTTTGGTTTTGCGATGTGGGTAAGTGCTGTCACCCCAATTCGTGGCTGGTCCGCTTGCTTGGTGTGGATGTTGCCGCCACCTGTTGAGGAATGCCTGCCATAGAGATTGGCTCATGTCAGGTCCCAATTGTCATGCCAAAACCTAGAGATCGTTCAATGCGGAAGATCGCCGCTTTTATGACAAATCATGTAGATTGTCCAAACTGACTTGGAGGGCTTGGCAGTGCTGAAACTGGCAATGTTACCTGACAGCGCAGTGGTTTCAGGTACCTGTTTGAAGTCCCACCAAAGTGGATCAGGCGATTCGAGTGTCAGCTAGCGAGGCATCAACCGGCTATCCTCAGGTGCCTCCTGTGGAAGTCATATGTACCCATGGTCAGTTTCCAGAAACAGTGCCCTCTATCTTTCTGGCTTGTTTTAGCGTTGGACGACGTCGATGGCTAGCCCGCCCGCCAAAAAGGTCATTGCCTGCCCATGTAATGCCGGATGATGCCGGATGGTTGCAGCTGGGTATGGGTCAAAATTAAACCACCAGGGGACCGCAGGTTTTAGTCCATGTTTCCATTTGCCAGGGGTACCCATTTTTGACCCACAGCCGGCTCTTTTTGCGGTCGGTACTCGAAATTGGAACATTGTGCTGCTTGCACTGAGGATCTTTGAGGAGTTCCGGTACAAGACTTTGTGACTGCCCTCTGCTGGTGAGAAGGCCCACCACGTGGCAGAGCAACATCGAAGCTTGGAGGGGCCACGACCGGCGGCATTTCTTGTGGCTCGGAATGGGGCACATATTGGATATTTCTTCCAGTTGTATTGGATACTACGCGTCTCCGTCTTGTCACACCTTGCTCGATGTGCCTGAAGCTGCTACTTGGATGGCGCAGCGCAAAGACTGAACAAGTGCAAGCGGCTTTGTGAATTCGCAGTGGTGTTGCCTGTGTTGGCCACAGGCTTTTTGGTGAGAGTACTGTAATTTTTGCTTAGAAATCATGCGCTGCAGTGGGTGACAAAATCAAGGGTATAACATGGGTGCCATTCTGGATGAACAGGTGGTTTCATGCCTTGACGAGCCTGTGTCGTCACCACATGAATTGAAGGAGGCATGCTCATCACGGGATGAGTCTTCTCCAGACTTGAGTTCTCAACCAGCGACCAAGCATTCTTTAGAGTTGTGCCTGCTACACAAGAGAGACCAGTGTGTTTTTTGTGAGACAGCCGCCTGCGGGGCACGCACAACTGTTACACGCTGGCTCTTGACAGGAGAAAGTGTCGTCGCGATCGCCTGCCCGCCGGGCTAAGAGGAGTGGCAGGGGATAGGGGCAGAGTTTGAGTGCAATCTAAGGGTGGAAGTACATACCCCTTGTTCATACCCCTTGGCTTCCGTGTTTTCCAACCCGCTTTATAAGGGGTATTTACCCCTTTTGGGGAGAGGGGTATGAACATCAGCAAGCCTTTTGGGTTCATTTGTCCAAGGGGTATGTAAAAGGGGTATGTACAAGCACCCCTGGATGCAAGTCTGGCGGCAGCCGGTCAAGAAACCAAGAGCCATACTTGCGGGATTTGACACTTGTGTTTGGGGTCTTGCTTTTCCCGAGCCAGACATGCCAAGCCAAGGATGCAATCATCCTACCTGTTTGGTTGTTGGAGGTCAAGCTTCCAGGTGTTTGCAACAGATGGCGAATCATCGTGAAATGCTGACCTGAGAAGCATGGCGTGTGGTGTGAAGCTTGGGTATTTCAGCCAGCACCATTGGGCCCGGTATGCTTCGAACATGCATGAACACATAATTTGGTGATTTGGCTGTACTAATTACACATGACTAGCTGCCAGGGTCGGGCTTGCACATTGCTGCCCATGGTCTAAGGCAAACCCGAAAGGGCCCATGGCCATCAAGCCGCCTCGGTTCCTCAGGCAGACGGCAGCACCTCAACGCGCGATTTGCGACTTGCGACCGGGAAAAGAACGGCCGGTGCAGGGAGGTCAGCGACTTTGGCCAGGTTAGCGGAGTTCGTTGCCATGAATTGCATGGGCGTTGTTTGTGGTTGATGCATCATGGGGGAGTTGTCGTGCTGCATCCTTGGCTGTTTCAGTGGTGCAACAGCTTTGATTCCCATTTGTCATTTGGTTCCTGGCAAGCCCACACGGGGCCAGCTGGGTAGGGGGGGGGGTCTGACACCGGCTCCTTCGCCCATCGCGGGTTCCACAAGTAGGCCGGAGCTGTTTGATCCTATGGCCTATCGCCTGCAGGGGCCGGAGATCCTTAGACAACGTTGACGCGGGCTCAAGTAGACATGTACAGCCAGCCCCTTTTGCCACTGCAAAGCTGCCATGGGCTGCCCCACACAAGCAATTGATTGCGGAACTGTCTTAAACGTTCAATGTCAAAATCACATTTTTCGGTGACGTAACATGATATAATTTGATGCAAGCTGAGTGTGGAGACCGAACTCTGACTTTCATAGGCCGCTTTGTGTCTCTCGTTTCTCCCAGGCCTTGAACGCAAAAGGAACCACAGCACTCCGGAGAGCACTGCACATGTCTCAGTGATTCGTGCTCGGCTTTTGGGGGCGTTTCTGGGGCTGACCTGCTCGTAAGCGGCAATGGGCCAGTCTCAAACCTCCGGGGAAACAGAGGATGCCACTTGGCAAGATTGGCTCCAAGTTGAGAGGGCTCGGAGTTCACTTTGCGTCGGACTTTCCCAACACTCTGAGTTGGCCCACGATTTGGACCATAAGGCAGGCTGATGGGCACCTTCAGTTACAGCTGCCCTTCCCCGCAAGGATCCCCAGCCCCTGGAATTCTAAAGAGTGCTCTTTGGGTCGTGCAGCTTGGGCTGTTGTGTTTGTTGGGCGAATGTCCTTCGGCCTTTTGCTTTTTGCTTTTTTTCAGGAGCTGCCTTACAGCTTGGGCCCTCTGGAGCCCCCCCCCCCCTCTGCAGAAGGCCCATGAGTCAGTAAGTTGCCACGTTCCTGTTCAGGAAATCGAGGCCCTGACCAACAGCCGAGGTTGCCCCTGTGGACTACGAGGCAAAGAGCATCACCGAGCTGCAGGCGTACCTGCCTGTATATAAATCACACGCTGCGTGCATGCATATCTATAACTGTATTGTGTTGGTAATGTGTTTTGCATTTCATTATTTGTGTTTCGGTGTGTTTTGCTTGGTTGATGAATATATGTGATGTTGTTGTTTTTGTTTTTATCCAATATAATATATTCATTCACTAATTCAATGTTTATTCCCGCCCTCAGTACCACAGAGCCTGACAGAAGAGAGAAGGTCCTTCCAAAAGAAAGGCCACTGTTCTCCCACGGCCTCTCCCCAGGGCGTGCATGATTAATTATCCTTGGCTTGCTTCCCCTCGAGGTTTCCGAACAGCAGCTACACTAGTCTGAGGGGATGACCGGGACGAAGTTGCCCCATGTGCTTAGATCGCATCAGAGCCCTGTGCGCAGTAATGTCCACCTGGGATTAGTACAGGATTTTCTATTTTTGGGGGCCAACCGTTTGTTTGTATTCCGGGTGCATTTTATCATCCTAGGAGGACATCATATGTTTCCCTTCTCCTTTGGCAGTTCTGCAAGGCCATGGTGCAGCAGCGCGGGCTGCCGCAGGTAACGTCGGACAAGCGCTGGCTGATCTCCCTGCTCTGCAGCACCTCGAACAACTCTGAGGGTTTTATGCTATAAGCTATAGCCTTCCCCCTCAGAAATGTGAGGTTTTATGCTTCAAGCTAACGGCTCCCCCAGTTTTTGTCAGAACCGACAACGGAACGGCAACTCGATGCCGCCGGTTGAACCATTTTCCATCCACTGTTGATTTCTTGTGGCAAGAACGAGCAAACATACGGCATAGTGCAGTCTTGAAGCTTGCAGCCTGCGGCGCAAGAGGCATTTTCAGAATCAAAGAGGGGAAGAAGATTAATCTGGCGCAAACAGTGCAGCTGAGGGAAGGTGCTCACGAACAGACCCTTCACACTTGCAGGTCAAAGAAGATCGGGAAGAGTCCTCCAGAAAGGGTGAGTCAGCAGCAAAGTGATTTGTTTTTTCTCACTCACGGGTTGTACTGAGTGAGCAGGTTTGGTGGACGCTTCTGGTGACACAGCTCATGCGCATGCCTCGTTCTTGCTGCTTGGGGCTCCCCTTTTGGAAAGGGCACATGTTGGGCGAGACCAGGCACATGCAAAGCAATTCTGAGGAAGATGTGGATGCTTGTCGCTTCTCAAGGGGCTTCCGGATAAATGGTTCATCCATTGTCGGGCTTTCCCTCGCGACCCTGCGAAAAACAAGCAGGTCCCACTGTTTTGCAGCTGCCCGCCTTCCCATGGCCATTGTCTAGGATGATGCTGGATCCGACAAACGGAGCAAGCCCCCATGAGGTGCGTAACGTGGTCAATGTTTGCTCACCCGAGGTTTTGATGCGGGCCGGGCTGCTGCTCAAAGCGGAACCCTGGCAGTCAGCCACAGCGCATGTTGCCGAACGCATGGTATTGTGCCGGTTGGCACGTGACGTCTTGTGGTGGTCTTGTCTCTTCCGGCAGGGTAACTCACTTGTCATTGACACTGGGCAGAGGGCAGGGCATGGGCCATGTGCGCACTAGTCTGTGCGGTTGATTCCAACTCGCCCTAGTGTAGCTTGGATGGCGCCAAACTATCACATCGAGTGGTCAAGGCATGGGGCCAAACTTGGGCCAGCGTCTTTGTATGGACCATTGCGAAAGCCCATACCCCAGTTGCTCATGTGACCTTTTTCCCTACAGTTTTGGGAAGGCCCAACTCAGGAATGAATCAACCAACCCAAAAAAAACACAACTCTGTTTCACGACTCTGTTTCTACCAATGCCAATGTTTGCAACTGGGATGCACTTCGCTTTTTGGACATGGCCAGCTTGTTTGACCACCGAAGGCACGATACCAAGGCGCACTCGGCCATAGCTCGGCAAGCAGCCTGGAGTGCCGCCTGGCTTAGATGCTGGCACACCTTGTTGGTTGCAAGCTTCACTTGCCGCCAAAAGGCCACTCCTCGCTTGATGTCAGAGGCCCCCCCATGAAGCTGCAGCCTTCACGGCTATGCCAGACCTGGGCGGACTTTCAGCGAACATGTTCCATATAAGCGACGGCAGAGCCTTCGTGGCTCACAACGGATTGCGGATTAGGATCAGGGATCCTGCTCGTTTCGAAGAGCGAGCATTGGGTCTAGTACCTTTTTGGGCCCCGATCCTCCGCTGGATTGTGTCTGTTTGTTGAACAGCCAACCAAGAGCAGAACTTTGTTTTCGCTGGGCAACTAGGCCGAGGGTGGTTAATGGCCGCAAGTTGTGGCGTTCTTGGTGGTGACAAAGGGTTGGTTTGGTTCGTAAGTCAAATTGTCAAAGACCCAAGTGGCCGTGAGCAACTTGGTTTGAATGATGCAGAGTGCCCACAGATTTCACGCATTACGTTCGCTCAGAGTGGCCGCTTGGGTGCTCAACAATTCATCGCACAATGGGATGAAGTCAGGGGGCCATCGCACAGTTGGCCTTACGCCGGTCCCCTGTTCAGCAAAACGCGGAGTCTTGTGATTGAGCGAGACGCCCAGATGTCCTACCACCTTCTGCATTATTCAACGTGCCCTGCCCGCCTCTCCACTATGCACGGTTTTCGCGAGGCCCTGAGCCGCTGACACGGAGTAGCAGCAAGGTTTGCTCTTCCGTGCTGTCGGTGCTGCAGAAGATCCGCTTCCCGGCTTGCGGTCAAGGGCCACATCAATCTGCGAACGGTTTGCGGGGGCAGGTGGTTATTCTTTCAGGTACTGCTTTCCCCTTTCAGGGGCTGTTGAAAGCGATGCCAAGGAGAAGCCTTTCAATTTTGCGGCTT